CAGCAGACGCAGCAGCAGACGCAGCAGCAGAAGAAACAGCTGCTGAGGCAGCAGCAGAAGCAGCACCAGAGGCAACCGATGATGCACCAGCTGCTGAGGCAGCAGCAGCAGACGTAGCAGCAGCTGCTGCTATTGCAGCAGCTCCGATGCCAGCAGATGCAGCAGCAGCTGCTGCAGCAGATGCAACAGCAGACGCAGAAGTAGATGCAGCAGCAAAGGAAGCAGCAGGCGCAGCAGCAGAAGCAGCAGCAGACGCAGCAGCAGAAGCAGCAGCAGCAGCAGCAGCAGCGGATGCAGCGCCAGAAGCAGCAGCAGAAGCAGCAGAAACATCAGCAGCAAACGCCCCAGAGGAAGCAGCAGCAGACGCAGCAGCAGATGCAGCAACAGAAACAGCAGCAGATGCAGCAACAGAAACAGCAGCAGGGGCACTAGCAGATGCAAAAGCAAGCGCAGCAGCAGCAGATGCAGCTGCAGCAGCAGAAGCAGCTGCAACAGAGACAGCAGCAGCCGACGCAGCAGCAGCGGAGACAGCAGCAGCAGCAGCAGGGGATACGGCAGCAGCAGATGCAGCAGCAGCACATGAAGCAGCAGCAGAAGAGTCAGAATCAGCAGCAAACGCAGCAGCAGCTGATGCAGCAGCTCCCGGAGCAGCAGATACAGCAACAGAAGCAGCAGCAGCAGCAGAAGCAGCAGCAGCAGCAGATGTAACAGCAGCTGCACCAACGGGAACAGCAGCAGACGCAGCAGCTGCTGACCCCACAGCAAACGCATCGGCAGCAGCAGCAGCAGAAGCAGCAGCAGCAGCAGACACAGCAGCAGACACAACAGCAGACGCAGCAGCAGCAGCAGCAGACGTAGCAGCAGATGCAGCAGCAGACCCAGAGGCTTCTGGTGCAGCAGCAGACACAGCAGCTGACGCAGCAGCAACTGAGACAGCAGCAGCAGACGCAGCAGCAACGGATACAGCAGCAGCAGAGGCAGCAGACGCGGGGGCTGCTTATCCAGCAGCAGACGCAGCAGCAGACGAAGCAGCTCAGGCAGCAGCAGCAGCAGACGCAGCAACTGCTGAACTAGTAACTGGCGTAGCAGCAGCAGCAACAGCCGGAGCAGCAGCAGCAGCAGCAGCAGCAGACGCAGCAGACGCAGCAGTAGAAGCACCAGCTGCCGATGCAGTAGCTGCTGTGGAAACAGCCGCAGCAGCAGACGCAGCAGCAGACGCAGCAGCAGATGCAGCAGCAGACGCAGCAGCAGACGCAGCAGGAGGCGCAGCAGAACCAGACACAGTAGCTCCCCCAGCAGCAGCAGCAGCAGCAGCAACAACAACAGACGCAGAAACTGCTGATGCAGCAGCTCTCACCGCAGCAGAGCCAGCAGCAAAGGCAGCAGAAGATGCAGCAGCAGCAGCAGTCGCGGAACCTGCAGCAGATGCAGCAGCAGCAGCAGCAGCAGCAGCAGCAGCCGACGCAGAAGCAGAAGCAGCAGCACAACCAGCAACAGACGCAGCAGCAGACGCAGTCACAGACGCAGCAACAGCAGCAGAAGCAGCAGCAGCAGCTGCAGCAACAGCAGCAGACGCAGCAGCAGAGGCGGCAGCATATACAGCAGCAGATGCAGCAGCAGAAGCAGCAACATATACAGCAGCAGCAGCAAAAGCTGCTGATGCAGTAACAGACGCAGCAGCTGCCACAGC